TGAATTCTATATATTCATAAGATTCAAACAAAAAGAAGTTTATTGAATTTGGCCCAGTAGTTGCTGAGATATCTTCACTCAAAGTTTGAAAAAAACTCAAAATATCATCAATACAAAATATGCAAAATTTTCTTTAAACTTTAAGTGAAGATATCTTAGCAACTACTAAGTCAAATTTGATGAACTTTTTTTGTTTAAATGCTATGAACCCATAGAATTCAAATAAAAAAAAATTTATTGAAATTGACTTGGTGGTTGCCAAGATATCTTTGCTCAAAGTTTTAAAAAATTCAAAACATCTATCAAAACAGAAGCTGCATTAAAATTTTTTCTAAATTTTAAGCAAAAATATCTTGACAACTACCAAGCCAAATTTAAATTCTATAATTTCATAAAATTTAAACAAAAAAAAGTTTATTGAATTTGACTTGGTGGTTGTTGAGATAATTTTACTCAAAGTTTAGAAAAAATTTTGATATAACTTCTGTTTTGATAGATATTTTTAAAACTTTGAGCAAAGATATCTCAGCAACAATAAAGTCAATTTTAATAAATTTTTTTTATTTAAATTTTATAGGTTTATAGAATTTAAACAAAGAACATTCATCAAATTTGACTTAGTAGTTGTTTTGTTCAAAGTTTAAAGAAAATTTTGCATAGTTTGTTTTGATAGACATTTTGATTTTTTTCAAACTTTGAGTAAAGATATCTCAGCAACTTCTGGATAAATTCAATAAAATTCTTTTTATTTGAATCCTATGAATCTATAGAATTTAAAAAAAAATATTTATTAAATTTGGCTTGGTAATCATTGAGATATCTTTACTCAAATTTTAAAAAAAAGTTAAATCTGCAGGGGTATGAATAATAAATCTGAGAATATAAAAATAATCACCTATTTGAAATATATTAATATTTTTATTATTATAATATATATATATATAGAAATTATATAAAATTTTTATAATACTTTAATAAAAGTATTTAATAACTCTATTTATTGATATTTGAGTGATGTAATACTTAAATACTTATTACAATAGTATAGTATATACTATATAATCAAAATTTTAAATAAAATTTTTTTTTAACCTTAAAAGGTGAGGACATGCCTCTAGCTTTATTGAAATTCAATTAAGTTTCCTTACAAAACAAAGAAATTATATATAAACTTCATATTTAGAGGATGTTAAGACTAGAGACTCAGATACAATATTGTAATAACATAATTATCTGTAATCTAAACCTACTAGAGTGGTCAAGGCTCATCTAGATTTGGAGGTTAAGGAGTAAGTTATATAAGTTAAGTTGATATTTGATCTATTGAGAATACTATAAAAATAATTTAGAACTAGCTATTGAATGAAGTGAAAGTCAAGGTTGGTGAGATGAAGTAGATAAAGAAATTGTTAATTAGGTAGGAATATTAGCTTGAGATCTAGAGATACAGTATGAAATCCAGATTGAACTATAAATTTGTTTATTGAGATGTAGTAAAAATTTGATAGTAAGAGATATAGCAGTTTTGTTAGATGATGTGATATTAGCAAGAGTTGATATAATTTCAGTAAAAATAAGACTAGCAAGTGTTGTTAAGAGAGATGGTAAGTTTGGTGAGTTATGTATTTGCATACCCTACAGATTTCTAATTTGTTGATGTATATTAGAAATAGGGTTACATTGTCTATGCGAATTGGCTTCATCAGCAGATATCAAATGCCACTAAATGCTTTTTTTCATCCTTGGCTGTACCTATGTCATTGTCATAGCAGAATCCAAGGTTGCATTGCACATACGAATTGCCACTTTCAGCTGATTTAAAACACCACTCAAATGTCTTTTTTTACATTGGTTGTGCCTATGCCATTTTCATAGCAGAATGTAAGGTTATATTATCTGTTCGCACTGCCACTTTCAGCATATTACAAATACTATTCGAATGTCTTTTTTTCATCCTTATTTGTGCCAATTTCATGCATATAGCAGAGTTCAACATTAAATTGTCCATCTGAATTGCCCTTTAGTAGATTTCAAATACCATTCAAAAGGATCCAAGGCTACATTATCCATTTGGTTGACACCTTCAACAGATTTCAAAAATCACTTAAGTACTTTTTTATCATCCTTATCTGTGGCTATGTTATTTTCATAGCAGATTCCAACATTATATTTAGAGATGGGAAAAATGCGCATTTTATAATAAAATGCGCATGAATGCGCATTAATGCGCATTAATGCGCACGAATCGTTTCATGCGCATGATATCGCATGATAAAAAAAAGGCAAAAACGATCGAGAGGAGAGAAATTTTGATGGGATAAAATGCGCATGAAACGGTATCATGCGCATGAATGCGCATTAATGCGCATGATTCCTCAATCATGCGCACGCATGAAACCCATCTCTAATTATATTGTCCACTCGAATTACCACTTTCAGCAAATTTTAAATACCACTCAAATGTTTTTTGACTGTATTCATGCCATTTCTGTAACAGGATCCAAGGTTACATTATCCATATGCCTTATTGATTACAGAATCCAAGACTGTCTTATCCATTGGAATTACCATCTTGGACGGATTTAAGATACCACTCAGATGCATTATTTTCATCCTTACTGTACCTATGCCATTTTCATAGTAGAGTACAAGATTACATTGTCTATCAGAGCTATCATCTTCAGCAGATTTTTAAATGCAACTCAAATTTAATCTTTTTATCCGTAGTAGCTATTTCGAATCAAAAAATATGCCGAATAATAGCTTTAAATTTTAGAAAGATTATAATATTGCTTTCACATCTTAAATGTAAAGATGTACGTACGTATGTGTAACAGGGAAATCTACTATACCTAAATTATACAACTATCAAATTTCTTTATCGAGAATTTCAAATGTGTTATATTAAGATTTAGTCAGAGTCTTTGATTTGAGCTCTAAATTACGTTATTGAGCTTGATCGCGATATTTCGCAAAGTTTTAATTAGTGTTACGCGAGAGATCAAGTGCCTATAAAAATATATTAGCAAATCTGCAAAGTATACCAATTTTTGTAACCCAAAATTTGTGAATTATCAATGAGTTTTACATAATCAATATTAAAGTTAATGGCAAAGCAGTCATATTAACTTCCGAAAAACCATATAATAACGATAAATTATTATGAAACTTTGCCAGATAATAACTCTTAACGCTAACTTTTTGATCAAAAGTATAGACATAACTTACAGTACTGTATAACATCAATAAAAGAAACTTTTGTTAATATGATTTATAATAATGAATACCTTATGTGATCTTTAAAAATAACAGCATAACTTCGACAAAAAGCTACCAAAGTCGATGATAATTGTTTATTTGAGGTAGAGTCAAGAGTCATGATGTAGTTGACTCCTTATAGAAAAACCTACGGTAAACTGACTTTTAACCGAATAGTTTGTTTATTAGAGATCAAGAGTGCTTAATGAGCTTACTTCAAATGCAGTCATACATAAGTTATGTCACTCCATTTTTCCAGAGCAATTTAGAGGATGTAACTAAGGTATAAAATATGATTTGGGCATTACGCTTTAATTACCTGATTATTGACCAATTAAATTGCAATTTTTTAAAATTAGATATAGCTTTAACAATAAATAACTTGATTTTGCTACCAAGGTGATTGACACGATGAGATGATTCTAATGACCTAAAATTGTTCAAATACCAGTGTTGCTGCTAGACTGGTTCAGTGGGAATCACTGGAACTGGAAGGCACACTGGAACTAACTAGATGGAACGGGAAGATATACTAGTTCCAGTGACTAGTTGTCACTGGACTCGGGTAGTCGAAGCAAAGGTGCAATACAGGAATGTAAAGTTCGTATTACCAGACAAGCTTTTTACCAATTCATTCAATTGTTACTGAAGGTCTTATGAACAAAACTTTATAAGTATACTCAATCTTTAAGTCAAGATCATGTTAACGAAAAATTTAGTGAAGAATATGAAACAACAAATCCGTTACTAAAAAGTAAGTGGTTTATAAATAATATTAACGATAAGGAATTCAATTTTTCGAGCGAAGCGAAAATTTTTTCTACTAAAAAAAAACAAAATGAAATGAAAATAAGTCAAATTTATTATTGTTATTTTCAAAATATAAATTTCAACCTAGAAGTTATATTTGTTGTAGAGACGATATGGATGAGTCAACTCTCTCTAAGCGCAACTTTTAAGGACTAGACATTTGTTAACAAAACATTACATTTATAGGGATCAACTATATATCTGGGCCAGAATTTGAAGTTGCATTTAGAGGAGTTGTATTTTGAAAGAATTGACTGTATGAATTTATTGTTTTCGATAAATTTTTACTGACCACGAAATAACGTTCCTATTTTAAATTAACGAATGATATGTCAATTCGAAGAATGTAAATTGAAAAATGATGCAGATATATACTTTAAAATACGATACAGCAATTGATTTACAAAATATAGCATCTGATATACAATTTCACACATAGCAAGTATCATGCAAATTAACATTTTTATTATCATGCGAATTAGTAGATTTATAATGTAACTATGAAATTTTATTTGCAAAATAAGAAGCGGCCTCCGGAACCTAACGGGTCCCGACGAACCAATCATAACCACCCAAATCAGTTACATATGGAGTGTAAATACATATAATTTAATATAATAAAAATTTTTCATAATAAAATCTCCTAAATATTTAAATAATTTGGGTGGTTATGCTTGAAGAGTTAACAGATTCCGTTTTTCGGTTAGCTAATTATCGGTGAAATGAATTTTAGGTGAATTAATTGTCAGTGCATTAAGATGTGAAAAGATACGTAACCCGTACGTACAGTACATACATCTATGAAATAATAATAAAAAGAGTATTGATTTGTACATCTATATTACAATTAAAATAAAAAATTGAGGCTTTTTTTTATGAACATGTAACTATCAAAAAGATTCAAAGTCATTTGTTCTGGAATTTCAAATGGTTTAAAAATACTGTTTGAAATGAAGTGCTAAGAAAAGGAAGTTTTGAAATTTGATTTGAGAAAATTGTTGATTTTGTTCCTAACCCACTTCATCAAACCTCCATGATTAAATACTACATTGCTAATAGGCGTGTTAACACCTATTTCATTTCCAACATTAATACTACATAAACTCTCGATATTAGTCACTACACTTTCATTACTACATGCCACACTTGCAAAAGTGCTAAATTCAATGTTCATGCTGGCATCTATTTCTTTCCCAGCCTTAGTACCTAAATCTATAATAATAGTGTCCATACATTTGGTATTATTTAATACGTCCATACTGGTATTAAGAAAGTGTCCAATATTAGAAGATTCATCTCCAATAGACTGTTAATAGCTATTTCATTTTCAACCTTAGTATTGCAGTTTATGATATTGGTCTTCAACCCTTCATTATTACATGTTACATCTGTAACAGTTTTAATCGAATCCTCAATGTTAAATGATTCACCTCCAATATACGTGTTGATAGCTATTTCATTTTCAACCTTAATATCGCAGTTTATGATATTGGTCTTCAAACCTTCATTATTACATATCACATCTGTAACGGTCTTAATCGAATCCTCAATGTTAAATGTTTCACCTTTATGATATTGGTCTTCAAACCTTCGTTATTACATATCACATCTGTAACGGTCTTAATCGAATCCTCATTGTTAAATGATTTACCTCCAGTAAACGCATTAACATCTATTTCATTTTCAACCTTAGTATCACAGTTTATGATATTGGTCTTCAAACCTTCATTATTAAATATCACATCTGTAACGGTCTTAATAATGTTAAATGATTCACCTCTAGTAAACGCATTAACATCTATTTCATTGTCAACCTTAGTATCGGTCTTCAAACCTTCATTATTACATATCACATCTGTAACGGT